GCGCGCCGCGAACCCTCTCCCGCCCGGCGCGCCGAGACTGGTCGCACGCGCGCCTGGCAGGGCGGCTGATCCTGGGCCCCCCACGGGCCGGCGAGCCGTGAACTCGGGCCTGCACGCGGGGTGAGGGGTGAGGGTGGCGGGCTGACTTGGGGAAGTAAGGAAAGATCTTACGGCCTTCTTCCAAGTCCTAAAAGCGTCCCTCGCGGTCCGCCCGCTTCCTGGCAACCTCGCCCCGCTGGCGTCCAGGAGGGCTTTGCCAAGCGCGGCAGCGGCGTTGGAAACCTTGCCGCAAAGCCAAGCCTGGGCGAGTGGGAGAGACGCGCAGAGGGGGCACGGGTGAGTGGGCACCTCCCCAGCACCCGCCACCCAGTATCTCTTCTCCCACGGCTCAGAGGATTGGCGATTCGGACAAATGCCGCGCGACCCATCTGGGAACAGAGGCTGTGGAGCTTCTGTCGGCGAAAAATCTGGGTCCTTCAGAGCCCAAACAGCGTGCTCGTGTGCGCACGCAAAACCAGATTTCCCACGGCGTGGATGTGCCCAGACAGAGGCACAGGGGCGAAGTGCTCCCAGTCCCCCGGAACTCCCACCCGCTCCCGTGTGCCGCAAGGGTAGCTCGCCTCGAGCTGACCCTGCTGCAGAGCGCAAGCGGCTCCTAGAAATTCACTAATTGAGTCACAAACCACTGGCCGCCACTAACAAAGCAAGCGATCTCTCTCAGCAGCTCAGCGCCCAATTTGTCTGCAGCACTTTCTTCCGCAATTCAGAAGCATTATCTTGTTTTTAAAAGTATCACGGCAGAGACGTGGCAATTATCCTGGGCTCGGGTTACACTAAATGGCTTAGGCTGAGAAATGGAAGGACACAAATGCCACGAACGTGCGGATCGCCTCGCTGCGAGCCTGGGCCGGGGGCAGGGGAGGAGAGCAGAGGAGGCAGGCGCAGGTTCCCGCTCCTGGTTCCCTCTCCGGCAGCGATGAAAGTGTTGGCCCTTTGTTTCTAGAGGTTAAGGATTCCCAGTCACGGCTCCCCACAGGTCGGGGGAGAAGAGGCCGTATCTCGACATGACCAGGCCAGGCTTCGGGTCTCAGAGTCGGGTTTTGGGTCAGGAACTGGTTGGGAGCTTCAGACACTGCTGGGATGAGGAGCCGGAGAAAGGTCAAGGGTCAGTGGAGGAGGAGGGGCGATTCCAGCCGTTCTTCGGGGACACCTATATTAAAATTGGAAAGGCGCTGGGAAAAAGCAACTAGGAGGAAGGAGGAGCTGGCTCTGAGGAATGAGAGAGGCGTTCACTCCTGACCAAGGGACAGGACTGGCCCGGGAGCCCGGTGGACATGGCAGGGTGAGAGCCCACCAGAACTAGAGAGAGTCCCAGAGACCAGCAGGCCTTTCCGCACAAGGAGCGGGGGGGAAAAAAATCGACTCTAAGAATCTTCACCTCGGTCCGCTAGGGTGAATCTGGGCCTGGGAAATGGGGAGGGGATAGTAGCAGCAAGAGGCGTTGGGGTGCCGGCGCCCCGAGTGCAGACGTCTCCTTGGCCTAGCCGCTCGGCCCGCTGCGGCGGCCACGCTGTGCGCGTCTTTCTCCTTCTGCTGAAACCAGCCCCCACATCTTGAAGTAATCAGCAGCCGAGAAGGGACTCGTCCCCCTGGCATCTCAGGTTAAAGAAGGAGGTCCAGGAAAATGTGGTAGAGCCATTACAAGAAACCCGAGCCGCAGTCATCAGGGACTCCAATTGCCAACGCATTAGGATTGATTAGAGACCAGCAGTACCGTAATGACCCGGAAAGAGGGGCAGCCGGGGA